ATAATATGCTGTATGTATGGAAGTGAGAGCTGGACCATAAAGAAGGCCGATGGCCGAAGAACTGATGCTTTTGAATTCTGGTGCTGGAGGAGACTCTTGAGAGTCCCATGGACTGCAAGAAGATCAAGCCTATCCATTCTGAAGGAAATCAGCCCTGAGTGCTCACTGGAAGGACAGATCCTGAAGCTGAGGCTCCAATACTTTGGCCACCTCATGAGAAGAGAAGACTCCCTGGAAAAGACCCTGATGTTGGGAAGACTGGAGGGCACAAGGAGAAGGGACGACAGAGGAGGAGATGGTGGGACAGTGTTCTTGAAGCTACCAGCATGAGTCTGACCAAACTGCGGGAGGCAGTGGAAGACAGGAGTGCCTGGCGTGCTCTGGTCCAGGGGGTCACGAAGAGTCGGGCATGACTAAACAACAACAACAACAACAACAACAATATGCTATTAGGCAAGGGTGTTCCTGTGATTGTATTAAGGGCCTTACATTTTAGAGACAGGGAAATCGAACCCGTCTTCCTGTACAAAGCTGAGTGTGACCTTACATATCTCATCGCCAAGGAAGACCATTACCTAGCCATTGTGGATAAGGAAACCTGAGTAATTAAACTGGTGTCTTGTTACCAAGAGACTAAAAATATTTCAGACTCCCTACGACAAAGCAATGAGCCAAAACCAAACTACTTGGAGAGAGTGGAGTTTGCTCACTATTGGAAGTTCAGCTCTCACATTAGTCCACTAATGTTTCTCCATGTGGGAAGAGGCTGGGCACTAACTGAAGGGAACAGGAAGTCTTACATGCGCCATTCTGACTTCTGTAAAAGGGCGACATGCAAACATATCAAGTGACTCTTTAAAATATGTGTTTCACTCCTCGTGAGCAAAAAGCACGCTGAAGCTAAAATCGAAGAACTGTTTTGGTCATTACATATACATTAAGCTCGCAACTTACTGTCAGGGATGAGGAACCTTTGGCCCTCTGGACATTGCTAGAGTCCAACTTCAGGCAGCTTTTATCCAAATAATAACCCACTGAGAGGGCTGATCATTCTGTGAAATGAATGTGTGACTTTCAGACAGTCATTCCTAAGGTCAATGTATGCATGATTTCTTTCTCTATAGTTTGCAATTAACCAGCAGAGTTATAATGAAATCATCTGTTAAGGGTTTTAAATTTTGTATGAAATATTTTGTTCAGTGCGGGAGACATTAAGCTATATGTTATCTCTCTCACACTGAACAAAATAACATTTGCACAGGAAGTTCACCAGTCCCTGGGATCTGAACCATGATCTTTCACACACAATTTAAAACCCTTAACAGATGACTTCATAGCACAGAAATTATGAAAGGGAAAGAAAAATCTAAGCATATTTCCTTTACCCCATTGTAGTGGCTAAATAAGATTACATTGCTCACGGCAGTCAGTCTTCTGGCCATTTGAACTGGAGTTTGAACCTTATCACTAAATGCAGCACTCCTTCAAATTAGGGTATAATCTTTCTTAAAAGAAAAAAGGAGGACCTTAGGGCTACAGAGAAAGTTATGACAATATTCGAAGCGCTTAGTGAAATCTCAGAACACCCTGGGGAAAAACACGCCAAACAGGTCCTAGTGGAAGTCTGCAATGCTCTGTGTTGTTCCTTGTGACATTAGCAGAAGACAAACTTGTGTCTAATAGGCAAGACACAATAGTTCAGGTTGCAAAAATGTACCACCCCACTGCACAGAATTTGGACTTTTAATTTTAAAATATTAAGCACCAAGCACACACACCCCTTTATTATTTGGAAATTTAAGATAAGAAAGAAAAAATATAAAATATAAATAAAACTACTAATAATAAAAACCACTATAATCAGTTCACATTAAAGATCCAGTAACCACCAGGGCATGCATCTTAAGTTAAATATATGAGCTTTTTAAAGTTTTCTAGATGTCCAAATGGGTATCCACATGAAATTGATGCCACTCTATGCAATATATTCAAACAAAGCCAGGGCGGAGTGGTCCTCAGATCACTGGGCAATGGATGTGTGTGCGTTTCCTGTTAAAGCACTCTTAAAGGATCCATGAAAAGCTGGAGAATGCAAGTTCTACTAGACAGAGATGACATGATGGGTCGCACTACCATTATGCCAACAACTGAAACTGAAAGATGCAGAAGGTGGGTTTTAACTTAAATCCAATACTTTCATTCAGTAAGTATTTTTCTTGTCTGGACAGCAACCCAGATCTTAACTTGCCTCGTACTACAATCTCACGCACATTGACTGAGAGGAAATTCCCACAGAGTTCAATAAGACAAACTCCTAGGAACTGCGTGGAATTTGCAGCCTTAAGTCACACTAGTAGTGGATTCAGATCTCAATGATATTGCATGCTCCCTCTAGCATTAATTGCAAACAAAAAAAGGGGGGGGGGTTCTAGCTTCGTTAATGAAATAAGGCTATCCAAGTGAATGTTTACACTTCAGGTGAGGAATGGGAATTTGATCCTGAATTGCTTAAGATAATTATGACAATGGCAGATGCAGCACTGCAGCCTTCACGATGGTCGGCCAAATATAACCCTCTACCTTTGGCCCTACAGGAACTTCTCCCCGCAGGTAGCAAATATTTGTCAGATGAGGAGCCTGGCTTTTTATTACTTGGCAGCTGGCACAGGCCACTTTCCTGAGTCGACTTGGCCACCCTTACATTTCCGCTCCCCCCCCCTTTTCTTTCCTTGGGAGGGTAAGGCTGGAGAGCTGGGCTGATAGAAGGCTTTTTATCTGCTCAAAGCCAAACAAGTCAGCTACTGTACACTTAGGACCTTATACACTGAATAATCATTTACAACAGATTTAACTTCAACATTCTCTCTGTTTTCTTTAGCTGTCAACACTTTCTGGATTTCTCTGCGACTGAAAGCACTGCTTCTAGCACTGCAGTGAGGGGAAACAGGCTTTAAGGAGTTCACTGTGCCCCTTATATTCCCTAGACTAAGAAAAAAAGCACTGTTCAAACCATCTTGCTCAGCTGTGCTCGTAGCCATCCAGTGCATCTGGTGGGGTCTCCTGTAAAGTCCTGCTCACTAAATCAGGGGCGTCCTTAAGATGGTCAATAAAAGTCTGGCTTAATTTGTACTAAATGTATGGTAACCATGGCCAACTTTAACTACTGCTACAGAAAAGGGCCCCAGCACAGGACTATGCACAAACACCTACGCCTGAAGGATGGACCTGTTCCATCCAATTCATGTTTCAATCCGCTTCAAGGTCTCCTACTGCTCAGAAATGCTGGTGCATGTTCCTTCAATCGACACATTTTTGACCATGAAAGAGTACAGCCTTTGCAATTCAGTATGCTTTATTATAGGACTTAAATGACAAAACACTGCCATTTCTTTGTTTCCAACAAGACACGGCTGGCACAGCACCAAAGAACTCACACAAAGCAGTTTATTTCATCTGTACCATTTCGTTTTCTGAAGAGCAAGAAAAAAGGTTACTATTTCTGTCCGACGGAAGGGGCAGTAAGAGGGACTCGCTGAAGCCAAATGTTTCACGATGAGGTCTGTTCTTCACCGCTTGTGGTCTTCAACATGCCACTCAAAATTTATTGGCAAGCTACATTTCCCCTCAATAACTCTTCCCCTGCCTTCAAACAACAAACAACTGAAGATAAAGGTTTGGTAATTGACAGACCGTAAGATATCAGAAGGAGAGACACAAAGGGGGGGAAATGTGACAAGTCTGACAGAACTGCGACCAGCAGGAATTATACATGTATTCCTTGTCAGAAATAATGAAAATGAATTTCAGACATGTTGCAGACAGGCAGAATAGAAAATGTTTTTATTTAGTGTCCGAATTTGCCTAACGAGCTGGTGGTCAGCATGCCAGCAAAGCACAGACACTTGCAGGCACGTGAATAGTTCAGTTGCACCAAATTAAACCAGAATAGTTAAATGTGTGCATCCGTGCAGCATTTTCAATAGTGCTGTTGGTATTATTTATTGTTCACGTGGGATATAATGTGCAAAGGATATCCAATTTATCGCAAATTCATATTCTTAAGAGAGCCTGAGAAGAGTGCCCCTATTTCTGCATTTCTCAAAGCTATTTAGGGACTTCACGGTGAAGGAGATTTATCCCTAGGTTTCAGAGGTCCAAAGCCATTCAACAGCACCACACTGGATCACGCAATAAGTGTACTAAGAATAGAGTACAATGTGCAGAACACTGAAGGCAGGGCCGCGTTATGCAACCCCAGCCTTGTAGCACAAAGACTCCAAAGTCTCTTTCCCAGCTCTTAAGTCAGAGGCCAGCAACCTTAATCGGAGGGTGGGCTGGTTGACGCTCCGTCCATCAGAGGATGGGCCGGAGCGTGCGCACATGCACGCCCTCCGGGTAAGAGGAGCGCCCGTGCGCATACACTATTTCCGGCGCTACTCTGACCTGGAAGAGCACCAGAAATAGTGTGTGCGCATGCGCACGGGTGCCGGACGCTTCTCCATCCCGCACACATGCACACACACTATTTCCGGCACACATCAAGGGTGGAGGAGCACTCGTGCGCACAGGCGCCATCAACCCGGAAGTTGGTCCCCGTGCCGCGCTGGTAAGAGCGGGCAGGGGTCGCCATGGGCTGGTTAGACAAGCCCCGCGGGCCGCTACCGGCCCATGGGCCTTGGGTTGCCGATCCCTGTCTTAAGCGCACTGGAAGAAGGAACGCCAAATGTCTCACACCTGAGGCGAGGGAACAGATCATCAGCAAGACCCTGTATACAACAAGAACATTCCTACTGCCAGGAATGTGGAGGTTAGTTAAGTTTCTCTATACCTAATTTTTGTGGGACCGCTGCTACCTTTTCTGGGTCTGCCTTGTTGGCAGTGGCCGTGTCACCAGGATGGGCTTTTTTTGGTTAGATGGGAGGGGAGAAGACTTGGAGCAGAGGAAAAGAGACACTTTGCCAGCCCTCAGACAATCAGCACAGAGTTCTTCTGCGACTTACCTGGGCATATTCTCTCTCAATTGCAGCCTTCTTCTGACTGAATATCCTACAAGAAACATGAAGGAAACGTCATCAAAACAGAGAGTATTACAGTGCAAATGCAACTGATGCACTTTAAAAATAAGTTCTGCATAAGCTCAGCTCACTTTGTAGGTTTGCCCTGGCAAGAAAACATGCAAACAATGAACTGTTCAATGATTAAAACATTCACGGGCACCAGCAGCTTATGGGTTCAGAGGCACTTCCGCCTCAAGTGGAGGACAGTTCTTGGGGATGCCACAAGATATTTCAACCAGCCCAGCTGAGACACACCCAGGCTTTTTGAAACGAACTGTTCCAGTTCTATCCTTAGCATGTTTGGCCAGTTTTTCCAAGTGCAAGACTCTCATCCCCTCTCAAAGAAATGCCCTGCTTCAGTCACATTGGCATAGATCCCCTTACTGTCAGTGAAGTGAAATGGAAAATTTCCCAGTGCTTCATTTTTCTGAGGATTTTTTTTTCATTTCCTAAGTTCATTAGCGGCAAACTACAAATAAATATTAGGCAAGCCTAGCAATTTCAAAGGTTTTTAAGTTAAAATAAATTAAATCACTCTCTAGGGCATCGGGACGGCTTTCTTTAAATGCAGACTGAAAATCTGCATGTCAATTTACAATTCTATTCCTTGCAATGAACAAGTCCTAGTTGAGAGGTGAAAAGACATTCATTCTTTATTGGTGTTTATTTTATCAGTTTTCTACTTTTCAGCAAATTCAGTAAAGGTTTGTCAAATAATAACCTGAACATTCCAAGATATATTTTAAAATTCTTGGCAATAAAAGCAACACCAGAATGAAATATATATAATCTACTTAAAAGGAATCTCTCAATAGAGAAATAACATAAAGACCATGTAACGGAAAACTGAGATTAAAACCTCCCAGTATTTTCTTATTGCTTTAGTCAGTCAATAATGGTTATAAATCATATGCTCTATATAAAATAACCCATTAATATTACATTATACCAGAAACTTAGAACCATAGAATTGCAGAGTTGAAAGGAACCAAAGATCATCTAGTCCAACCCCGTGCAATGAGGCTTGAACCCACAATCATGAAATTAAGAGCCCCATGCTCTACCAACAGAGCTATATTTCCATGAAAATATATTCCAATTTTAACAGATGAGTTTCAGCTCAACACAAGCTTTCTTCAAGCTGTAGGAATTTACATCAATTCTTGTTATCTTTTAGGTACCAGGTCCTCATTATAACCATGTAATAGCCTTAATGGTATTAATAAATTCACACATAGCAATTCTTAATAATTTTGACAGGTTTCTTTCAGAGCTGTTGAATATTTCTACATGCCCACCTGGAAAGCCATATGGTATTGGTTCAGCACATCTCTAACACAAGTGCATCCTTATTTATTTTACTTAGTCATGTTGAGATTGAGATTTTTAATTGAGATCACATAACACTGGTTCTGAAAGACCTGCATTGGCTCCCAGTACATTTCTGAGCAAAATTCAAGTGTTGGTGCTGACCTTCAAAGCCCTAAACGGCCTCGGCCCAGTATATCTGAAGGAGCATCTCCACCCCCATCGTTTTGCCCGGACACTGAGGTCCAGCTCCGAGGGCCTTCTGGCGGTTCCCTCCCGCAAGAACTGAGGTTACAGGGAACCAGGCAGAGGGTTTTCTCGGTAGTGATGCCCTTCCATCAGATGTCAAGGAAATAAACAGCTATCTGACTTTTAGAAGACATCTGAAGGCAGCCCTGTTTAGGGAAAAATTTAATGTATGATATTTTATTGTGTTTTTAATATTCTGTTGGGAGCTGCTCAGAGTGGCTGGAGAAACCCAGCCAGATGGGCAGGTAATAAAAATAATAATAATACTATATGATGATGATGATGAAAATGCTCTTTCTATATTTTCATTAATCACTACCTGACAATAATTTGATCATTAGGGTTTCAAATAATGCATTTTCATTCTTTTCATTCTCCATTAAACTACATAAAATTTAGATAACTCCTTCTGAGTCACTAACAATTTTTCAAACCAAGTAAGTTACTGACCTACCTTTTTATATACTTCATATACTTATATACTTTTTATATACTTCAAATGAAAATATTCAAACCAATTTAAATAAAAAAAATTCCCCTTTATTCATTTTTTAAGAAGATTTAGGTGTACACATTCAGGCTTTAGTCAGGGCCGTGTGTTTCCTGCAATTCTGCAAGAGTACAGAATATAGTGTTTAGCATGGAGTTATTATTCATAATCTCGGCTTGCTTTTTTTTTTTAAAGCACGTTTCTGACTGCTAAAATCTGTGAAATCTGTGAAATTTTTCAAAGCCCTTGCCCCTTTCAAAGCCCTTGCCCCTCCTCCGATTAGCAAAACCATGATAAATTATGCGAGAGCAGGAGTTGCAGAAATATGCAAATTTGTGTAATTGCATCAAGCTATGGCTCACAGTTTAGCTTAAAACTTTTGTGTCCGTCCCCCCCCCCCAGCATAAACTAACAGTAGTGATAAAGCCTTGAGGATTTCCCCCTAAGAAGCTGACTTGAAACATAAGTTCAATTCATACTTGCTTCCTCTCATAGAAGTCTGCTTTCTATGAGTCTCCCTTCAAGATAACTTGAAGCTCTATTGCAGGGACGAATGCTGTACTGCAACTATGAGCGTTGCTCATGCTACTTTGTGAAAGAGTCAAGCAGCTTTTAAGATACAGAATAGCCAACATCTGTTAGAAATGCCAATAAAGGCAGCATTTTACCTTTCGAAAATTACAGAAGTAAAAAGCAAAAACAAAACTAAGTTATGTTGTACAAATAGTCTACTTTTTTCCTGCATTCCAAATTAGTCAACAGCTGAAGCAGAAACTGATTTTTTTGTCGTCTTAATCCATTTTATAGCAATAGGCTCCCTACCCCTCAAACAACCTCAAATTAGTTTGCTTTGCAGCCAATTCACATAAAATACTCCTGTCTCTTGCGACAGCAGATAGACTAAGTTGCACAGAATGCACTACAATGATTAAAAACTTTCTTTTTGTCCCCTGTGATCATTATCAAGCAGCATGTTAGAAATCTTGCTTTGTAGCAATGCTATTCTAACGTACAGGAAAAGCCTCTCTCGCCCCCAATATTTAATTGCAGCATGAACTAGCTATTGCATTTTATTCTCTCTTTGCAAAGAATTGACTTAGGAAGAAGCAATACTGGAGATTGACAGTACCAGCCTTTTATGTTTTCAGGATTTGTGTTCTCTCCAGCTGTGTTACTGACATCCCTAAACAGACATATACAAAGCTCCCCCCCCCACCTCAGGACAGTTTATACAGGAACCCTCTTATGACATCTAGACATTTATTACAAGACATCAAGAGAAACAAGATTTAAAGAGTCAGATTTCCCAAGAGTAAAGAACCTCTGCTAGCAGCAGGGGGAAAAGTCACTGATCTAAAACATTTACTGTCTTATCCTGAGTAATCTGACATTCCACATTTGTACAATGTCAAGAATTTCAGATTTAACAGTTTAATTCAAGAGAGGGGAGGGGGCTTGTTCGTTCCCCAGCATTCTAGTAGTGAATGTTTGGCATTATATATTAACAAAAGCCTTCTGTAGCACTCATTAAAATCCTGGAAAGAGCCTATTTGCTTGCACAACCCCCTCCCCCATCTGTTATGCATTACGCACATGTATTCACAACTGCTGTTTTATATGCATGACTTCGACATTAATAATTGCTACAAAAGGAGGCTAAAGATGGTAAACTGCATTCCCTTCGACCTTGTCTCTGAGGCAGAAGCTGGTGTTTTCAAGAAATCTGTCAAGTAAAAACCTTGTCCTATCAGAGGTATTTATGCAGTATGCGTCCAATGTTTACCTTCATTTTTTCTATAAGAGCACACAGAAAAAGCAAAAGGTTTTGTTTTACATGACCAAGGTGGGGAAAATGCTTTGCCTGTTTGTTTTTTTATATGCTGATTTAAGTTCACATTTATCCTCCTAAACTACTCAGGGCCAGGAAGCACCTTTGCACAAGCATAAAATCATGTACCTGTTTTATGCCTCCTTTAAAAAGCAACTGCCTAGGCTTCATGGATGCAGAGTAAAATGTGACAATATGCAGACATCAGAAGAAGCTGCTCACACAGGAATCAGGGCTGGGCAGAAATTAGCAATGGCCTTTGGGTAGGGTGATGTGCAGCAGCCATACATTCTCCCACAGTTATATCAGGTCCTCATGACTCCACAATGCATCTTTTCTTGCCCCCAACAATCCACCTGCCTCTCAAGTGCTCGCCAAGATAGAAAACAAACATGTAAATGCTTTAAAGAGCTTTACTTTGGAAACAGAAGATGTGTAACAGTTAACCTATGTCAACCAGGGGATGGGGAGAGATGTCATTTTTGGTACAAAATTGGTTTCCTCTGCAAATTCTTCAGATGGGCATTTTATATACAACTCATTCATTTGAAATTAAGTGAGATTGTCATGTTCTGGCCTTCTTGTTGCTGCCCCATTAAGATTTGCTAGACAAAGGATGGCTCCTGGGGCAGTCCTGCCAAGCCAGCGAACCCAGCGGGGCCTCAGTTGTAACATGCCGGTCTTGTACTGCAGCCTGCCAAGCGCTCAGTAAATATAATTTATGTAGCCCCAGGTAAACTTCAAAAGAAGAGCTTGAGTCTCTGTCTTGTGCGCTCTGTTGGTTGCTAATAGAAAACAGGCAGCCATGAGTTTGACAGTTCTGCCCTAAAAGGGAGATTCCACCATGCTCTCTGAGAAGGGAGGGCCTCTTCTCAAAGCAGCAAAGACTTCAAAACCAGGGGAACTCCTAGAATCAATAAAAGGGAAGGGGTGGGGATAGAAACACGGTAGAGGCATTAGCCATGTCAGGAGACTGGTGTAGAATGGACATAAAGGTAAAGGTAAAGGTACCCCTGCCCGTACGGGCCAGTCTTGCCAGACTCTGGGGTTGTGCGCCCATCTCACTCAAGAGGCCGAGGGCCAGCGCTGTCCGGAGACACTTCCGGGTCATGTG